TTTCTGAAGTACAAAAATAATAAGCAATAAAATGGTAAAAGAAAAAGAACTTGAAAAGTGTCCTTCAAGACGAACTGACAGCTTTCTCAACTTCAATGATAGTTCGCTTGAAAATGAATAATATTTACCTAACAAGATCTCTCGTTATTCTTTCTTATTACAAGATAAAACTTCAATGAATAGAAAAAGAAAGAACGAAAAAAATGTGAAATTTAAAAAAAAATCTATGTCATTTATCGGACAACTTTTATTGATTACAAAGAAAGAATGAATAGGATGTGAATAAAGATAAGACTCACACCTACATCCTAACCATTCGATTCTAGAAACTTTGGATGACTAGTTTATATATTCTATTCTAATTTTTACACTGAACATTTTTCTTCTCTTTCTTTTTTCATCATAGTTAAAATATTAAATATGTATAAGTAAACATTAAATAGATGGAATACTTCACCAATGTTTAGCTTATAATCAAGCATTGCATTAACTTTTCTTACTTTGAAGACAATATAAAGAGAATAAATAAACATTAATATGGTAATTTACATGTTACAATCGCATGGTATAATATTATTAACATAAAAAAACATGAAATAGTTCGATTTGATTATTAAATATTTCAAGTATTAATATTATCAGTGATAGTATATGTTCTTTTATATATTACATTCTGACATCAATAACAAGAAAGTCATATAGTATTAGATCTCATTATGCATATTCTCACATGTAACAATAAAATCGAATTCAATTCTATATTCTCGTCATAATGCATTACAACAGATTTTATAGAATATTTTTTCAAAAAAGATTATTTTTATTTCACAAATATATTTCTAACGGTATAAAACAAACTAACAATATTATTTCCTTTATATTATTTTGACATTTCTTATTTAAACATGTGATATTGACTAACTTTCATCTAGCTTGATAAACCTTCATGTTATCAGAAGTAATAAAGTGAACGATTTATAATGGTTTCTTTCTATAGTAGTTATACATAATTTAATGATATGACTTGTTGATTCTAGATATTATTGAACATAAGTTAAATTTACATTCTTTCGTTTTTTTTAATCCTATGCCAATATCAACCAACAGTATACTTTACTAGAAAGTCTTCTTAATTCTTCTTCGAAATTTAAGGAGATGACTATTAATCAATTGAAAAGTATTTGAGACGTTCTTTTTCGCCTTCTAAATCATTGAAGACAGTACAATTACAATGATTATAATAGTTCAATATCATGAAATGGATACTAAAAACGGTATATTAAGAATAGCTATGCAGACAACACTATCGATAGTCCATTTTACAGACATAGCTGATATATTCTTGTAAAAACTAAATAAAATCTGTTTTAATTTAAAAAAAAACGACTCAAAATTCGAGTGAACATCATTATACGTCCAAAGTTTTTTTTTGCATTATGTCAACATATAATTCATTATTTTTATAAGACTTGCATCTAATATAATTCGCTTTTTTATGGATTCCAATAGTATTGACAACGACCATGAATAAGTAACCCCAATGCTCGATGAGAACGAATTGAATTTATTTTTAGATAGACTATTTTTATTGAAAAATGTATGAAATGACGGCAAAGAGAACAGCAGAAAAGAACAGGAAAAGAAAATGCAGACACTCGCAAAAAGACGCGTCATTTATTCACATATTCACCTTCAAATCCAATAGTTTGCTTTTCTTTTTCGATCGCTACTGATTTCATACTGCCAAACATACCTCACACTTCATTTAGCACTGTGTTGCTCGTATGCGGACATGAAAAAGAGCAGCAAGGAAAGGATGTGAGAAAGTGTATGTGTCATTGGTAGCCAAAAAAAGAAACCGCAAAGTAGATGAAACTAACCACAAAATTTTAAGTTTGTGTACTTTGTTCTTCACTTGCTCATGGACAAATGAAAGAAAGAGAATGTGACTGAGAGAAACACAGAGAGAAAGAGACCAAGAGACAGAGAGAAATAAACACAAAAAATGTTAAAATAAAGAACACCATTGATGATGAAAAAGAAATGAAATAATAAAAAGTAATTTTATTCAACTAAACTTATTCAAGCAAGGCTATTGAATCTTATTGTCTGTTGAATATTTCCTACAGTATGGACAAGATTGTTATTTCCGAAGACCGTTATGGTCGAAAACTTAATCATATGGAAGATGATGATATTATCGACCGTCTTAATAATCGATATACAGTTCTGGCATTAATAATGTGTTTTTTTATAATTACAGGAAAGACTTATATAGGAGAGCCAATCAACTGTTGGACACCAGGCAGGATTTTAAAAAAGAAGTTTCTTTCAATATTACATTTTATATTTTTACTATAGCTCAATTTACTGGACCACATAATGTTTATACAAACAGTATTTGCTGGTTAAAAGGATCCTATTATTTGCCAACCGAAGAAAGTAGGCTATATGTATAGTTGTAATATAAGGTCTACAAAAGATCATCTATCAAGTTGTTAAATTGATATAATGCTTTGTTCATCTAGGATAAAACAATCTTAAAAAAGTAATTAATTCACACAACCATAAAATGTTGATCTTAATCTAAGTCAATAAAAGCACTTAAAACAAAATAATGCTGTATAAAGCTAGCCATTTTCATCGTTAAAATAAGTAGTGAAGTGTTTCATAGTTTTCAATCATATACAAAAGAAATGTATTGAACACATTAATTTGGTACTTGAAATTCATGATGCTTATGAAAAAGCTACGTAACCTGTTATCACAATATAAAAGAGAGAAGCATGAAAAATCACACGAATTCCTCAAAATCAATATAATTAAATATTGTTTTAAATATTATCATTATTTTTATTTTAGTTACAATTCCCGATCGATCAAAACCTCGACTTTATCATGTGTAAGCTATCTTCATGATAAAATCATTTGTCACTGAATTCACAATCTATTTCTAGTTCTTATTATCAATGGACACCATTTATTCTACTTGGTATGGCTCTATTTTTTCTTTTACCTCGATATATATGGCTTGCATTTACACGAGGAGGTGGAGTCAATATTCAGAGAATTGTAAAAACTACTAAAGATCAACTAGATCCTGACAAAGGTGTTGTTTTAGCACAACGTTCATTAAAATCATATATTGATACACAAAATACATTACATGGAACAATGTGTTGTGGTATTCCTTGTCATAATTTTTATTTTAGTTATACATTAACATATTTTAGTATTAAAATACTTTATATTGTCAATACACTTTGTCAATTTTTTCTACTCAATACATTCCTATCATTTCATTTTACTAGTTATGGTCCTCAAGGAATAAATAAATTATTTACTAATGATGATTGGTTTGAATCACCAAGATTTCCTCGTGTTACTATGTGTGATTTTATGATACGGCATTTAGGTTCAAATCAACATTGGTATGCAATTCAATGCAATTTACCAATTAACATATATAATGAAAAGATATTTCTTGGTATTTGGATATGGTTAATAGTTTTAACGATATTAAATTTTTTATCAATGATTTTTTGGATGGTATCATTGGCAAGAACACGTCGGGTAGCAACAATTAAAAAATATTTGAAAATCTATACACCACGATCAGAAGAAAAAGAAGCTTTATTATCATCAACAACAATGATAAAATATCGAAGATCTGACGTAGCGGAAACAGCTGATGATCTTACACGTTATTTAGGCTTGGATGGTTTTCTAATATTTGACCTAATTGCACGTAATACAGACGATATTGTAGCTGGAAAAATCATTGATCTTTTATCTAAAAGTTATGAACGACCTGCTCGACATCATATGAGCAATGTTTGAGAATGTCTGTGTGTTGGACAAGATTTTTTTCCCCTTTTTTTGCAACATACTTTGTGCTTGATAAGTAGAATATATAGTAAAAATAACCATAAAATATGTCTGATGCCTTCTTTTCATTAACAAAGAGTCGCTAGATGATCTGAACAATGGAAAAGAAAAAGGAATCGATAAATATTGATTACGAAAACAAATATTCGTTCGAGTGAAAATGTACTCAATCGTAATGATGGTCTTTGTTGACTATTTTGTTTTTAGTTTATTTCAATAGTATTCTTATCAAGTCAGGTGTATAATAATCGAAAATATAAATAGAATTATACGTGTTCACCTACACCAAACGCCTAGCAACCTCTAATGTTTTGTTTTCAAACAAAATTTGAAAGATTTTTGAGACATTTCGTGGGATACGGCTTTCAGAATTCGTTGAAAAAGAATTTCAATATCAAGTTCCATGCATATCATGGATGAACTTCTGTTAAATTCTTACTTAATTTATATAAATTTCTGCTATCAATTGGATTCAAAATAGCCAAAAGACAGCATCGACACCTATAAAATGTAAGAAATTCGTCAAAGAGCTATAAAATGAAGTTTGTGCACATAAGAGAAAAATATTTGTCGTGAATAATTCATTGGAAATGTTCAAAAACATCATTTGACGATTATCAATAATGGAAAGAAACTAATTAATATACTGTTAAACAGATATATTTCATTATTCCATAAGAACAATATCGTGATGCAAAGAACATATTTCAAGTTGTCTTCCAAAAATTTTTATATATCTCACAAACATTTTGATGAATATATTAGAATTGTATTACAGTTAAAGAAAACGTCCAAGTAAAAAAAAATCGACGTATGATTCTTGCGGACCATACGAAATCTTATGAAAATCTTACGAAAAATCATCATTATCTCTGAAATCTTACGCGATATCTTATAATAAGATTCTTTAAAAAAATTATTTTTATTGAACTTAATCGTTCAAATGATCTAAAAAAATTCATAAAATAAACAAAAGAAAACTGGTTTCTTTTTATTCAAATTGATTAAATTATCTATGGAGTTATTTTTTTAGCAGATCAGCACCACACTACATAGAAAATGTGTGTCCAATGCTCAAGAAGTAGCCTCTAAACTAGAACATATTTAATCACTTAAATATTTTTTCGAAATGCACAAAACTATAGTTTTAAAAACTATTTGTATAAGTGAAATTCAAAAATTATAATCTTATACGATCGTATAAGATCTTACAAAATTTCGATCATTAGACTTTGTAAGAATCATATAAGATTTACAGTAGTATATTATAGTCAGAGAAATATTAAACCTGATGACATTCGATCGCAAGTAGAATCTTATACGATCTTCGTAAAAATTTTGCATATGGATAACATCATATAGGATTAATAACCAAGTCTTAAGACACACTACAGTTTCTCGTTGCTGCTTCTTGTCTATCACATATACTCGTTTGAGAATACGCACAAAATATGATAAATATGTATGGAAAAAAGTACATGTCTTGAGATTAAGGTGTGGGTGTGTGCGTATGGATTTTTCCTTCATACACACTACCACCAACACCCACACTCGATCCAAAACAACGAGAGATAAAGATCTACTAAACGATAATATAGCATCATAATACTCAACAAAAATATAAATTTTGTATTAACATAACATTAAAAGTTAACAATATATGTTAACGTCATATTCGAAATAAATTTTGTTATTTGACATTAATCTTATTGATTTCATAATGTTGTTAATATCATATTATTCGTAATGCTTCATTGATTAAATCATCTCGTCTGTCGTATCAATTAAGATATACAAAACAATCGACATCAGATAATCATCAGTCAATGCCCCATATGGAAAAATCTTATGAAGATCTTGATAACAATTGGATGTTGTCAGATTTACACTCTATGATCTTAGGAAATTGTACAAATATCTTACTGTAAGATTTAATATTTATCTGATTATAAGAGGCTATTATGAATCTTACATGATTTTTATAAAGTCTAATCATCGACATCTTGTAAGATCTTATACGATCGCATAAGATCATAATTTTAGATCATACTTATACAAATACTTTTTATAACGCTAGGTCTGTGCATTGAGATAAATATTTAAATGATTAAATACGTTCTAGTTTAGATGCTACTTTTTTAGCATTGAAAATACGTCGTCAATGTAATGGTGCTGATCTGATAAAAAAATTGTTTCACAGATAATTGAATGAATTTGATTAAATAGAAGTAGGCTTTTTTTGTTTAAATTGTTTATTTTTTTGTATGAAATACAGTTAAATCTTAAGATTAAATCAAAATTAAATAGATATATATAATATCTTGCAATAAAGCTTTATTGTTTTAACAAAATAAAATATAATGCTGGAATTTTCAGTCTTATATGACCATTTACAATCTAATAATCATTACCGAATCGAAAAAAAAACAAAAAACAACAAAATCTTCATATATTAACATAAATCTAAAATTGATAATATATGTCAATATCATCATGTAATTAGTGAATAAAAATCATTAATAATAATATGAAATGTAATACTTTATATCAAGTTACTGCATATATTCATTTAATTTAATTTTTTTTATTTTAGTTCATTTTAATGATCAAATTCAATAAAAATAATTTTTTTATGTTTTTTAAGTATATATTTGTGTTGTCATTTAGTTTTTATGACTCTTATAAATAAATACACATATGCAAGTAAAGATAAAAGACTTTCTTAAGAAAACAAGATGATAGAAGACAAAAATAGAAGAAAATCAGGTATACAACGTTATGGGAAATCCTGGAAAATCATAAGATCGTATAATAGGATTGTTTGACTGGGGCAACCATTTATTGTTTGTATTCGAACGGAAACACCATAGCTGTCAATCATTCTCTTGGTAACCATCATAAGATTAAATTCTATCCAAACTCTTCATCTCCAATTACACTTAATATTGAAATATCAAAAAACAAGAACAAAAAAAAAAAAAATATTTTTTTAATGGAAAATTAATTGAAATTTTATCCAAAAAAAAAACCGGATAAATCAAAAAAAAAATAACATATCTTCTTCAACACAATAAATATTCAACATCAGATACAATACATTCAAAATAAAATAAAAAAAAAAAAAGAAAAGAAAACCATTTTCCATCAATATACATTTTTTAGCAGTAAGGAAACAAAAATTGAGCTTTTATTTTTATTTTTTAATCGTCAAATATCTTAGTTTTACGCTCTTAATCAGTTGGAGTACCTTGTTTAGTAAGTAAAGCTTCTTTAGCATCTTCATCTTGTGCTTTTACATTTTCATTATTACCAAGAAAAACATCACCTGTATGTGAAGTTTTTTTCGGTGGTGATAATAATGTTTTCTTATCATAACATGCGGAATCATGTAATGGTTCATCACCTGCATGTACAATACTTGACATATATTTCATAGTACCTGTATGACGTGCATTAAGATCTACAGGAGCTAAATTTGTGTTTGATATAAAATGTGATTGAATTGACATTATTGAACCATTCTTTTTTGCACGATCAATAGCTTCTTTACGTTTTAAGGCTTTTTCACGACGTAATTGTTCTTTATAATATTCAGCAAAATTATTAACAATAATTGGTATTGGTAATGCAATAACAAGTACACCACAAACACAACAAACTGAACCAATTAATTTACCCCACATTGATTTTGGATATATATCACCATAACCAACTGTTGTCATTGTCTATTTTTATTTTGTAAATAAGAAAAAAAGAAATAACAAAAGAAATTTTTGGTTTTTTTTAAAAGAAATCTTTTTTTTTTTGTTTTTAACTTACAATACTTGCCCACCAAAAAGCATGTGGAATTGAACGAAATTGTATTGCATTTCCATCTTTTTCAGCAAAATAAGCTAGACTTGAAAATAATAATATAAATATAGCAAGAAACATAAGAAGCATTGATAATTCTTTATAACTTCGTCTTAATGTATAACCTAAAGATTGAAGACCTGTGGAATGACGTGCTAATTTTAATATACGCATTATACGTAAAACACGAAAAACTTGTACAGCTTTTCGAACAGATTTTAAATTTTTTAAATTTCCTGTATCTAATGTTTCAAGTATAATTGATATATAAAATGGAACAATCGCAATAAGATCAATTGTATTTAAAACACCTTTAAAAAATTTACATTTATTTGGTGTTGCATATACACGAATTACATATTCAATTGTAAACCATGATATACATAATGCTTCAATTATAAATAAAGGTAATGGTTCACGACATTCCTCAAAATTATCTGGATTTTCAACAACTGATTGTCGAGCAGCTGATTGAGCAGCTGATTGAGCAGCTATATGAACTGCATCAGCATCAACTGCTGCTGCACGATCTAATGATGATGCATCAACATCAGTAAAATTTGGTGTACAACCAATACCTTAAATAATTTTAAATCAAACTTTTAAATGAAACTTATTATTTTAATTATACCTTCAATTGTACTTATTGTTAATGTAAATGATGAAAGAAGAATAAAAGCAATACTAACACATGCAATAACCTAAATTTAATAATGAAATAATTTTTTATTTTATTAAAAATAAAATCATACTCGTGCTGCTTTTGATGTATGTGGATGTTCAACAAGATCCCATATTCTACGTCTTGCGTTTGGACAACAATGTTCACCAAATGATTCTCCTTTTTCAACTTTTAATAATTCAACTTCTTTTTTCATTTCTTCTAAAACATGTTCTTTTTTTTGATGATATTTATTTTGACAACATAATTCTAAATAATATTCATCAATACCCCAATAAACTAAATCATCATGAAATGATATAACACATATATCATCAACTAAATGAAGTTTTCCTGTACGATAAAAATTGATAACTGATGTAAATGAACGTGGATGACGATCAAAAAAAAATTCTCCTCTCGATAAATCATAATCATCACATAATCGAATTAGTTCATCATGTGGCATAGTACCTGTTGATGGTACTGTTGATTTACGTAATCGTGCTAAACGACCTAGACGAGTACTTGGTAAACGAGCAAGTGTTCGCCACATTACTATAAATAAATATCAATTTTTAGACACAAAAATAAACAAATTACAAAAAAAAACAAAACAAAAGAAATACCTTCATGTCGAACACCACCAACATTTAAAATTGCTATACTGTTGTGATGATAAGGACCTATATTTATCGAATCTTCGACAGATGTACGATGAAAATTTGTACTTTGTCTAGGTGTATTCAATGGAGAAGGTGTTATAGATTTTGTTGGTTGTTCATCATTTGTTATTGACTCATCATCTTCAACAAGAGCAGCAGCTGCAACTGGATTTGCCACCGGGAAAAAAATATTAGTTGGTCGTAAATATCCTGCCAATGATGTCTTACGAGTATGCAATGTATCATTTGTATATATATTTGAATCTGTTGAAGGTGTACTTGGCATTAGAGCGTCACGAATTGATGATTTTATACTAGTTGGAAAATGAAAACGATTTCCTTTTCTATTATTTGTATCAGGTGCAACTGGACAAGAAACACGTCGTGTAGTAGAAGATAATTTCGTATCTGATAGTTTTTTTGTTGTTGGTGTTACTTGATGAATAGATTGACGAGATGATGAAGATGATGGAGAATAAAACCAATCTTGATCGGGCAACTGAGAAAAACGAGATTGGTTAGTTGATAAGAGACGATTATTTTGTGGTCCATTGGTAATAAGTGTTGCATTGGATGGTGATGAGATAGTATGAGATCGAGTCTCAAAACGTCGAGCATCGGATATAGAAGGTGTGTGTAATGTTGACGGTGATGGCAATGGTGGTGACGACAACGACGATTCGCTCTTTACAGAAGCTGATATCGGTTGCATGGAATGAGATGCAGCAGGCGTCAACAACATTATCCAGTAGAAATCGGATCGGATGACGAAGAAATGACAAAATTGAGTTGTTGCTTGCCACTACCAATGTTATTACTCCATGCAAACATATATATATATATACATACCATGCACAAGTAAATTAATGCGAGTCAAGAACACGCTGTTGTGATTAAAACAAAAAAAACAAGTAATAACGACGAAATTTGGTTTACTTTTGATGATCTTATTAAAAGTGTCGTAATTATTCAAAGTTTTTTTTGTTCGATAGACGGTGTATTGTTCGTATATTGCACTAAATTACTTGAATTAATTCTGAAGCAAAAAAAAAAATAGGCAACGGTGCATGTCAACGTGAATAGATAGAGTACATATAATAATAATGCCTCGTCGTTAATATGCGTGTCGCTTCTTTCATTGACGGTTTCTTTTATTTCCTCTAGGGTACTCATTCGCTTTTCAAATCTAACGTGTATATATGCATTACAAAGAAAAGCATATTATTACACTTGCTTGCTCTATTTAGTTAATCACTGTTTTTGTCTATATTTTTCTTAGTTTTTCTCTAGAATCACCTGTTTATCTAACTTATCTACTTTCACTCTAAAATTGTTCGACAACTACTAATAGCATATGTCTATATTGATATTACATATACATATATATATGTTATTTGTATATCTCTTGTTATTTCATTTATTCTTTCTTTTGTCTTTGTCTCTATCCTTGTTAGACAACAACAATGACAGTCAAATGACACAGCTGCTTCTGTTGACTGACAGACAAATGTTTATTCTACATTTATTAATAAATGTAGCTAATAGCTGATGGAAGTGCGTGTTAAAACAACTTACCCGTGATAATAATAATAGCTAGATTAGTTTTCGCCTTTTGTCTATTTTTTTTACATTTATCTATTTATATAGTTTTCTTTTCACACGATCATGTACGACCCCTCTCTCTTGAAAAAGAAAAAGAAGAACCAAAAGAATCTTTCTTTTATATTGATAGTACAAGAGCATCAGTATGTGCGTGTATGCGAACGCGTGTTGTCGAGTGTCTATCAATTTTGTTCGTTGTTGTATTGATGGTGTGCGCTGGCAACATCTTGCTTGCTCATCTTTTGTCTATGAAAGATGAAAGAAACCATGCGCACGAGCGAGAGAGCAAGCTATGAGAAGCATACTCAAGTAGAGACAAGAGAAAAAGAGAGAGAGAGAGAGAGAGAGAGAGAGAGAGAAAGCTAGTGAAATCTGGAAAAAAAAGAAAACGTCACCATTGCATTCATCAGAATCATTTTTTTTTCTCTTCGTTCCACTAGTGAAAACTATAAATAAAAGATATCTACTAGAGCATAATAATAATGTAGTAAGGAAACAAAATTGATTGACACGCAACAGGCATATATAAAGAAAAAAAATGTGTTAATCTTCGTTGAAGCATGTGCCGCATGCATTGCTAGAAATGTTTTGTCATAGCCACATCGTAAATATCTGATCGAGTCCACTGACATTAATGGAACGGAAGAATTGTGATGTTGCTCGACGATTGTTTCTTATGCGAACTTATTTTTTAGAAAATGTTTTCTTTCGCTTCGTCTACTTCTTCGTCTCTCTTTTGCGCTTCCTTCCGATCAAAGAAACACGCTCATTCAAGAAACAAATCTTGCTTTTTTTGTCTTCATTGGTATCTTCCTTCCTCTGTCTCTCTTTATTGGTCTAAGCGAACAAATCTATATTAGAGAATGATGTTGAACTCCCATTAGCAACGAGAATTTCATCATAATAAGGCCCTGTTTTGATAATGATCTTTACAGATAGGCTAATAAGATAAGCAATGTATAATATGCTCTTATTAATCAAGTGAAATACCATCATTATTGATTCGATATAATACTAGAGAAAGATCGGAATCCGTTTCCTATTTTTAAAGTGTTCCATTTTGTTCGAGAATAAGTGTCGTTCACTTTAGCATCTTGAACTATTTCCTTTTTTTTTGAAAAAAAAAACGACGTGAAACATATTCAAGATACACAAATTAATTAAAAAGATATACTTTTGGTTCAATGATGGAGAATATTTTTCTTTTTGTTTGAAATCATCATTCAACTTGTTATTTTAATGCATATTAAATTAACAAATTAGAAAAATCAATCAAATAAATTTATTAATACATCTAAACATTTATTGACTTCCTGAATTAATATTGACGTAAAAGATAATAATTAATTTTTTTACTGGAGGTTTCTTTTTATGTTTCAATAAGATAAAAAACATGTGGCTTTGTAAATGTTTTTTTTTCTAAGAAGAATTGTCGATGCGAGAATAATGTTCGAAAGTAGTAGTATAACAACGACCTTAGGCAAAGCGATGAAAGCAATGTAAATGAGTTATATTGGCGTTTTGGCTCAACAGCATAAAAATTAATGACGTTCTAAACTAGCTAATCGGTGCCGACAAAAATGCAGATAACGTTACGATAAAACAGATGCTCGGAAGTTAAAACTTTAGATTATCAACTGTTTTTTCTCAACTGAAGAGTGATATTTAACAGATATTAATTCGACAAAAATAATTCCATATAAATTTACACTATTGATTACAAAAAATATAGTTTAAATACTCATATAAAACGTTGAGTTCTTTTTTTAATATGTATATTTATCTTGTTATTATCTTTTTTTTTTACTCGATAAACCTTCGAATTGTATTAATGTGAAATTCATTTGTTCTCAGAATAAGAATTTAATTAAGATAAATGACAAGGATTAAGCTATTAGAACGTGCTATCTAATCTTGTATCAATGAAGGATGTGTCAGTAGATAGATTGAACAGATAAAGAGCCATTGAAAGAAACAAGTTTTATAAGAAAAAGAACACTCAAAAAAAACAATAATGCTTACTTTGAAACTCTTTTTATTAGATATACAACTTTTTTTTTTACTAGTTTCACTGATCAAACAATAATTTTGATATATATATACATTGATATGTATACTATAGGAGCAGATCGTCAAACTGTGTTGTTCAAAATTTAATAATACTGTTGAATGACAGTCATTGCAATATGGAAATAGGATTTTACTATTACAGAAGTTGCTATCTATGTGTCATTGATTTGACAGACAGGTTTTCGGGCTCTTAGTATTGATGTTTCTCAGAAGAAAATTCTAACAGAATAATAAGAAAGCCATTGCAAACATTATTTAATTCAACAAAGTGATGATGCAGATAGTTTTCTTTTGTCTTCAAAGTTAGTGTAATGTTTGAATCAATATTCTTAGGAATGAATAATTCTACTAAATTAACATATTCGATATTTTTAAAAAAACAAAGATCAAACTTCAATAAAAATACTTCGATTTATGAATCAATCTATTAATTTGATTGTGACTAGAAGAAATCATAAATTAGAAGTAGAATATTATTAAAATATGCTATATATATATATATATATATAAATGATTAACGACGATACTTGATTGTAACTTCTGATTCAAATGGAACAAAAGAATATATTAGAAAAATATGAATTTGATTGGAATCTCTTGTGCTATCAATCATATTCATAATTCTTAGAATTTCGAGCATCAATAGTAATGACGAAAATATTACAAAGCTCTAATATAAATCATTCAACGAACAGGAACTAATATGTCAATCATTGTTTACATATATTACTTTCCAGTAATTTATTCTTCGACATGAACTCTGTTATTCAAGTACAATACACAAAAAAAACTATCTCGTGTGATACTCTCATATCAATCTTTATTAGTCAAAATAAACATAAGATACAAAAAAAATCGACTGGAATATCAACATATCAGTAAAAGATATATAGAATATGATTGATGATTGTTAGTATAACAGATTACTAAAGTATCTAAATGACATTCTTGTGATTTATTATGCTCAATAGTATTTCTTTGATGTATTATTATTGACATACATTGGCCAATCTTTCGGTTAGAAAAAAAAATATTTTTACACATACTACAACAAGTGTCTATTTATTACAATTGCTATCAGTACGACAAGTCTATAATAAAATATTCATTCATAATGTAGAAAATATGATTAAGGATGTGATAAACAATTTTGTTTCGATTCATAGTTTATTTGAACTTGGAAATCCTTAATTTAATCTTATACAAATAAATATATGATATTTCAAAAAGAAAATACAATTGCATCAAGTTTTGTTCAAAGATTTTACTATTAAATGAAACCATATGATAAAATAATAAAATCCAAATATATACCAGTATTATTTATTTACTCTTATGTTTGGATCAATTTTCTATATTTAGCACATGTCTGAGTAGGTGCTTATTATACTCGTTGTATAATATTATGTAAGTAAGTGATTGCTTTCTTGCCTTTCTTTTCACCTTGAATTCTACTTATTTAGTTATAACTCAAAGAAAAAAAAAATATATACTTAACATTATGATACTTAATGGAAAATATATTATCGAATGATCAATTATTAATTCTACTCTACACTTTCTTGTGAATAAAAAATATTTTATGAATCGATATTTCACTGAAAAAAAAAAGATCGAATCATAATAGATTTTTTAATTGTTCTTTTGACAATTGTCGTGAATAAAGATTTGATTTATCCTATAGAAAAGATTTAAACTATTATATTATTATTTATCGAGATATTTCTTTTACATATTCATCATGGAAAATAAATTTGTAGATGACAAAAAAAAGCACGAAGCTAATATTGATAAATTATGCTATTTAGTCATGTTGTTAATTAGTAAATTAATATATTTCTCATGTTCTGACATGTTCATTGATGAACACTAGAAAACTTCCAAAGAAAAGAAAACCTATAAAATTCAAAAGCATATGTTAGCTCAAATGAGTAAACATTAGTCTCATTGCTGTGTCTTCGATTGCTTGGAATCTTTTTACTTTAAGTTTTACACTTCAAAAAACAAATTCACTTGCTTGACAAGAACGTATTGAAAATT